GATATTCTTAACCGCCACTACACGACAATCGAGGCGGATCGCTAGTTTTAAATAAAGTGGTCTTTTTTTTTCTTTTTGAAGTAAAAATTTCTTTAGCATCGTTGTGATTTGAAACTTAATGAAACGAAAAAAGTCTATAGTATAGGCCTACGAGAGAATGAGATAGAATCTATACTTAATAAAATAACGCGGAAGAGGTTTCTTTGTTTGAATTTGAAACGCTAAGCTTTGGGACCACCAGTGCAATGTGATAAATTATTTTTGGGTATAATAGCTAGATTCACGAGGAAAAGTATAGGCTATCTAACATTAGGCTGCACCTCTCAGCAATCCTTAAATATTGATTTTTGTTTAAGCAAGTCGGAAGAAAAAGCGCTCGCGAACTATTTATCCGCGTGCGCTGGCGAAATAGTTAGTGATACGTAAATACTATGTTCTACAAAAATATAGATCTTTTCTCCATTTAAAACAAAGTCCACGATATCATAGGCCTATTTTTTAGTTATTTATTTATTTAAAACTTCATATACCTACACAAGTTGTATGGTTACCTGGGACAATTCCAACTTCGACCGAGAGGTCAATCGATGGATGCTCGGGGTTTTTCTGCGTGGTAGACTTAAAAACGAGGATATTCGCAGTAGAACCATAGAAACCGACATAGCCCAATGGATTAGTAAGCTGAAGTGGCAATGGACTAGCCATATAGCTTGAAGAACCAACCGATGTGGAAGGCAGGTTATCGAGTGGCAGCCTCGTACCGGTAGGCCGCAAGTGTAGGGCGTCCCCCCACTAGACGGAGTGATGACCTGGTAAGACATGCAGGAAGTTAATGGATGCAGGTTGCTCGGGACCGTGCTTTGTGGCGCTCCTTGGGGGATCTATGTTCAGCAGTGTGAAGGGATGTAAGGATAGTGATGATGAAATAAAATTAATTATATTGAATAAAAATATCATATCCAAACCATTTCAATCCACTATTTCATATCTTATCGATTTATATTAAATTAGTTATGTTTAGACCATCTAGTGTATATTTTACGGACCACCTTGAGAGTCAGTTAACTTTTTTCGATAAAATGATTTTACCTATAGAATGAAGTAGATGTCGCTGTTACAAAGTAATTTTAGTCGAAAGAAAATATTCTTTTGATTTGATACACTAAAATTGAGGCTCTAAATATCTAATAATAAGGGTTGTAACATTTATTTGCTATAAATATAAACTTTTATCTTATAATTTGTGTCGCACTTGTAGTTGAAAATTATCAAATTAAATAAATCATCTGCTGTGAAATATTTTTGTTTTATATTTCATTTCATTTGAAATACCGCGTGTGAACTGCACACATGTTTTCATTGAATTCGAATCCCGTGCCTGAAGCGTGGAGACCATGGGGCCAGGAAAAACGAGCACTAGCCATCCAAACCCCAGAGGTGGATCTGGTATATGGCTCCGCTACCAACCAAGACTCAGCTGCGGAGAGTTGAGAGGGCAGTGCCTCGCAATACCGTCACTCCTCTCCCCCCGTGGCCACACCACCACCGCATTAACGGTACGGCCCTAACAGAGCCGTGGAGTTTACAGAGTGCAGTGCCTCGCTATACCGTCCCCCGTGGCCAAACCACCACCGCATTAACAGTACAGCTCCGCCAGAGTCGCGAAGGTTAGGACGAGTGACACATCGCTTTATCAATATTTCTCTGCCTCCGCGACTCCACCTCGACTCCGCCTCGACTGTGGCGAGAAGGGGACAGCAACACACATCTGAAGTTGGCTCGCCGAGACCACTCGGGCTGGCCCTTCACCTCGGGACAAACATGTTGGTTCCTCTTAGTTCACAGTGAGTCATCAAGCCACAACTATTAAGCCTCTCCTTCCCCCCGCCACGACCAGGTGGAAACCCATTCGGAGGGGATGAGTACGAGTACTTACGTATTATAATACCTACCAACAAACAATTGTATGTCTACTGTCTAAACTTAAATTATTTACAAAATTTCAAGGCAATTTACAGATATAAAAAAAAATCGAATAAATATAGAATGTGTCATAAATATAAATTGCATTTTTATAATTATTAAAACATTAACAGTAGATCTAGATAAAATTATCTATTCTTAAAAACTTCACCAACAATAAAGAATTAATTAATGAAATTCAATAGGGACCATCCCAAGGGTAAGTTGAAACTTTCGGTACGTAGTACCTACTATTATTTATTCTGTCCGCCTATAAAATACCGGTTGGATCGAGAGTGAGCAAAAGGTTGCGTCACTCTAGCGGAGCGCCATGGTGGCGGGGTGGAATTGAGTGTATGTCAAGGAACCCCCACTCGTTTGTACAGTAAGTATAAAATTTCACCGTAGGTGCCGTGCGTGAGAGAGTCCGTCTAAGACATTCTACGTAGTAGACGTGCTAAGATAGTATCGTGGTTCTGTCCGTTGAGATGGCTCTACTGGTGCAGACGAGAAAAATGGTGTTGCTGAGAGGTTGCTATGTATTACACTGAGATGTGTAGTATTACTGTTGGTTTGCATACTTTGGTGTAATAGTGGTGTATGGTGTCTACTATTAACAGACTCCGAGTGGTTTAGTGGCGGAGAAATGAAACTATTTTTGATGTGAAACTGATGTGCAGGCGAATGGAGTATATATTTCAGTCAACCCTGCCTATATTTATATGCCCAGCTACGTCCTTAGTTTACCAATAGTAATAATTTTTATTTACTTAGCCAATTACAATTCATACATTTTGACCAATAAAGATTAATCAATAAAATATCCTGTACAACTATTATATGTCGCGCTCCATTTGCCGGCGTAAGAATCGTCGATAGCTTCTCGTAGCTGCGTTGCTGGACGGTGCTATAAAAGTGGTGCACACCGGCGCGCGCGCGTTATCGGCGAGCGGCGGCGACGTGGGACACATCTCCGGAACAGCAAGAAGAAGAGAAGCTGCGGCGTTGAAGAAACGGCTCGAAAATGGTCGACGGATGCATGAAGATAGCCGGCGTATGAAGACGATGCGACGCTAATGATATTTGCGGCTGTTTCTTGTTTCTATATTAGAACGTTAAATATATACGTCAAATTATCTCGCAACGATATGCAACCCGCAGTATCTCAGTAGCCGGGGGTAATTAGGAAATAAATGTTTTCTTCAGACCCTCACCTTCTGCGTTATGGTAGCAGCAGGGTAACATTATTTATTACCGTTTAGGGTTGATTAGCCTGGCTGCTACATCACACTCCCCCTAGCAAAAGCGTACCGGAGGCTTGACGACTCGCCCATGTCTCGTAGTTTTTAAAATAGGTTTCATCTGGGTTGATGTAGATGATGGGTTTTCTAACTTCCTCGCTGATGGTTGTGACGATAATGATGATGATGATGATTCCTCTGAAGTATCTTCGTTAATAATATAAGCAGGCTTTAGTCGGTCGATCGATATAATAAATTGTAGATTTCCTTCCGGGTATTTGTAATTTAAAACTCTTGCTAATTCGCTCTAATACTTTATACGGTCCATCATAGGTAGGTTGAAATTGTTTCTTCACTGCGTCGTTTCTTACAAAAACTTGCTTGCATATTTTCAAATCTTGATGAATGAATACTGATTTATTATTTCCGTGTGATGATGTGCATTTCAACATTTCTTGATTATTTGACAATGTTGAAGTGAAGAAGTCACACGGTAGTCTTATGCTGCAGCCATAGGCTAGCTGAGCGGCGCTAAGACTAGTGTTTACACGCGGTGTTGCTCGTAGTCCAAGTAGCACTATAGGTAGCTCATCAATCCACTTTGTATGTTGAGATAAAAGAGTTTTGAGTGCGGTCTTCAATGTACGATGCCATCGTTCGACTATTCCGTTTGATTGAGGATGGTATCCTGTTGGACGTGTCTTCTGTATTCCCATAGTTTGTAGAAGTTTGAGGAATAGGTTGCTTTCGAAGTTTCTTCCTTGATTCGTTGTGATGGTTTTAGGTGATCCGAAACGAGTAATCCAATTTTCATAAATTATCTTCGCAACGGATTCAGCTGAATTATCATCGGTAGGTATTGCTTCTGGCCATCTTATTGTTCTGTCGATCATTGTTACGAGGTAACGGTGTCCTTGCGGTGAACTAGGTAATGGTCCAACGATGTCAACGTGCAGGTGTTCGAATCTCTCCGTAGGTGGAAATGAAGCTAGGCTGTTTGATGTATGCCTTTGTACTTTGCATTTTTGACATTGAATGCATTGCTTCGCCCAGTTGCCAACATCCACTTGTATTGAAGGCCAAAAGAATTTTCCAGTGATGAGTTTTCTTGTTGCTCTAACACCTGGATAACTGATATTGTGCAGTGCGTTGAAGACTTCGCGACGACATTCTTCTGGTAGCTATGGTCGCATGGTTGATGTTGAGGCTTCACAGTAGATAGGTAGATGCGTCATTGGCATTATAACTTGCTTGATGGACAAGTTACTTTGCTTCGATAGATGCTTGATGTTGTCGCTATCTCTGTCTTGTGCTTTGGCGATCTTGTGATAATCGATTGATGTAGGGCACGTTACACTGTCGATTGGTATGCGACTGAGTGCGTCGGCGACTATGTTATCCTTCCCACTGATGTGACGTATGTCGGTCATGAATTCACTTATAAAAATGAGTTGTCTTGCTCGTCGTGGTGTTTCCGATGGAGATGGTTTCTTCTGAAGTACATATGTTAATGGCATGTGGTCGGTAATAACGATCTGGTTTCGACCCTCGAACGTTTTTCTGAAGTGCTTGATAGCCATGTAGATAGCGAGTAATTCTCGGTCGAATGGACTGTAGTTACGTTGAGTATCGAAGAACTTCTTCGAAAAATAGCCAAGTGGTTGCCATTTCTCATTGATGTATTGTTGGAGTACAGCTCCCGCTGAGAGATCAGACGTGTCGCTGAAGATAGCAAGGGTTGCTTTGTGTGATGGGTGAGCGAGCAAAGCTGCATTTTGAATTGCAACTTTACAAGCGTCATGCCTTCGTGGCTTCATCGTTCCACCTGATTGACGTTTTATCTTTTTTCTTCGTGTTGTGAAGGCAGGCGTGAAGTGGTGCTTGGATTTCAGCGGCTTTAGGTATGTATTTTCTGTAGAAATTTATCATCCCAAGGAATCGCCTTAGTTCTTCGATTGTTTTAGGTTTTGCATAAGCGATGATTGCTCTGATTTTTTCAGTATATGGTTTGATTCCTTCCTTGATGACGGTAAAACCAAGAAATTGAACTTCTTGTTGTCCAAATATGCATTTCGAAGGGTTGATTGTGATTCCATTGTCTTCTAATCGCTGTAGCACGGTGCGTAGATGGGTTTCGTGCGTTACTTTATCAGGGCTTGCAACAAGGAGATCATCAATGAATGCGAAAACGAAATCCAGTCCATGAAGTACTTCGTGTATGAATCTTTGAAAGGTTTGACCAGCGTTCTTCAGTCCTGGGGTCATTCTTGGAAATTCGAATAATCCCATTGAGGTAATTATTGCTGTCTTCTCTATGTCATCATCGCGTACTTTTATTTGTTGGTAAGCTCGGTTGAGATCGATGGTGGAGAATATAGTCTTGTCTGACAGTTGATGAGTGAAATCCTTGACTCGCGGTATTGGGTAGCGGTCAGGAGTGGTAATAGAATTCAGTCTTCTGTAATCTCTACAGACTCGTAATTCTCCATTCTTCTTCGGTACAACGTGAAATAGTGATGACCAAGGGCTTTTGCTTGAACGGCATATTCCTTGCTCGATCATTTTTTCGAATTCCTTTCGAACTTGCTCGTATCGGTTTGGTGCGATTGGACGTGCACGGCAATGAAGTGGTGTTCCATTGGTTTCGATGAAGTGCTCAACATCGTGCTTTGGTGTTAATTTCATTGAAGTTATTCTTGTGATTCCAGGATATTCTTCAAGGATGTTGTGATACGATTGTTGAACATCTATGCTTCTTATTGTGGGTAGATTGGTTGCTTGGACGAAAGACTGAGATGCAAGATTGGTTTTCTCGTCGATGATTCTTCTTTGTTTGATGTCGACAATCTACTGGTGATGTTGAAGAAAATCAGCACCGACTTCTTCTGTAGCTGGCGGCTGTCGGATTCTTCATATGCAGACATCAGACGATACTTCAGCGAATTATACTGGTCGGTTGCCAGTAGGTTGTACAACAGGTCCGAAATCTGTTCGATGTCTTGTTTCTGAAGTTGGGCGATCACCATCTGTGCTAGTTGCACTTGACTCTTCTTTAAATCATTCGTTGCGACTTCAAAACTGATGAACCAAAGTCGGAGTTTATCTCTCCAAAACCGTGGTATTCTCAACGATAGAGATATATCGGCGATATCTTGTTCCTTAACCGGGTTTGATGTATGTGCGTCGGATTTCTTCCCTTCTTGCTCCATAATGACGTCTTGTCTTGTCCTTGATATTTATTTGATATTTTTCCCACTATTCTTACAGGGATCTTCCTTCTCAGTATTCGTAACGGGGTCACCAATGTAATAGTGGTGTATGGTGTCCACTATTAACAGACTCCGAGAGGTTTAGTGGCGGAGAAATGAAAATATTTTTCTGATGTGCAGGCGAATGGAGTATGTATTTCAGTCAACCCTGCTTATATTTATATGCCCGGCTACGTCCTTAGTTTACTATATTAGAACGTTAAATATATACGTCAAATTATCTCGCAACGATATGCAGCCCGCAGTATCTCAGTAGCCGGGTATAATTAGGAAATAAATGCTTTCTTCAGACCTTCACCTTCTGCGTTATGGTAGCAGCAGGGTAACATTATTTATTACCGTTTAGGATTGATTAGCCTGACTGCTACATTGGTATTATCATGTAATTACGTCCCTTACGTTACACTGGTGTGTGATAGTGGCGGGGGTGTGTTACGGTATAATCGAACTGTAATTGCTCTATACTAAATGTATAGTGCGTTACGCTGTCTTATTACTGATAATGATTAGTTGCGTAAGCAAGAGAACAAGTTAAACATCCGCTCCCACACTTTTACAATTTTTTTCACAATTAGGCTTCTGATGTATTACCGAGATCATAAGTGGGATCTCTTGTTGACGTTCCGAGAAACTTAATTCATCATTTATATTTGTGTCATCATAGGAACAGAAACAGAAATAGTAACTCTTTTATTCAATATAGATTATAAATAGTACTTATTGAAAGTCACTCTTTTGTTTAATTTACCACTACTGGTGCGAAAAAAACCTCTGTCCTGGGAAGAACCAGCAAGAAACCCAGCGGGACTTCTTTTTTTAAATAATAGCTTACAGTCAAATCGTTGAAGTGAATCGTTACAAGTAATAATTGTTAATTTATCTTTTTTGTTTTATATTATTATTTTTAACTATCAAATATAAAATAGATTAAAAGTCATTGTATTGTCATAATAATTATCATAGATAATTTTCTCACTTTATTTCCAATTTGGAATTTGAGATATTTACAAAGAATATTACATAAGTATTTTCATCTTCTAAACATTTGTAATTAATTCACTCATCAGTAATATTTATAACAGTCTTTTACTTATTTTCATATTATAAAAGTATTTGGATTGTTTATTTCTTACACATTCAAACTGTTGCTAAGTTCAGTTTTGATAGGTAGTACTAGTAACTATTGCAATAATTCTTGACTGGCTATTCGTGTCGTGAACTAGTAAGGCAAACAAGTACCAAGCGTATTATTATCCTTCCTGCGACTCCTGTAATACATGTATGTTACACAATTATTATTATTTTTTTTATAGAATAGGGGGCAAACGAGCTTGCGGCTCACCTGATGGTAAATGACTACCGCCGCCCATGAACAACCGCAACACAAGGGGAATTGCAGATGCGTTGCCGGCCATTTAGAAAGGTGTAAGCTCTTTTCTTGAAGGTTCCTAAGTCGTATCGGTTCGGAAAATTCGCTGGTGGTAATTGATTCCACAAAGAAGTTGTGCGAGGGAGAAAACTTCTTCTAAATCGCACAGTGGTGGACCGCCAATCATCCAGATGGTATGGATGATAACGCGAGTTTTGTCGCGATGTGCGATGGTGAAACTGAGCGGCTGGAATTAGTCCGAACAATTCCTCAGAGCACTCCCCGTGATAGATGCGATAAAATACGCAAAGAGATGCAACATCTCTACGCAGTGCCAGTGTATCGAGCCGATCGGAAAGAACTCGGTCGTCGAAGATTCGAATCGCTCTGCGCTGGATGCGGTCAAGTGGAAGGAGCTGGCACTGGGGTGCCCCGGCCCAGAGATGAGAACAGTATTCCATGTGGGGCCGAACTTGCGCTTTGTAAAGTTGCAAGCGATGTGCCGGCATGAAATACTGTCTCGCTCTGCTGAGCACGCCAAGCTTTTTAGAGGCCAATTTGGCCTTCCCTTCCAAGTGACCACGAAACTGCACGCTATTCGATATGTCGACGCCAAGGATTCCGATACTGGCTGAGGCAGCAAGGGGAGCGCCTTGAAACTGAGGAGATACGACAAAGGGGTTCTTTTTAGCGGTAAACGCGCAAACTTGTGTCTTCTGGGGATTGAACTGGACTAGATTTAGTCGGCCCCAATCCGAGACTTTGTTAAGCAAAGACTCGAATTCAGACACAAGTTTGTCCCGGTACTCGGCGACGTTTTCCCGAGAAATATTGGCACGGCCGGTATATAAGGCATCCCCAGTGCTGACGTCTGCATAGCAATGAATGCTACCAGCTAGCAACATATCATTGATATGCAGGAGAAACAGCGTTGGTGATAGCACGCAGCCTTGTGGAACACCAGCGTTGATAGGCTTGTAATCAGAGCATGCACCGTCTACTACGATCTTGATGCTCCGATCAGCAAGGAAACTGGTGATCCATTTGCACAATTTCTCGGGAAGCCCATAGGAAGGAAGCTTCGAAAGAAGCGCCTTGTGCCAGACCCGATCGAAGGCCTTCGCTATGTCCAAACTAACGGCCAATGCCTCCCCCTTGGACTCTACTGCCTCCGCCCATTTATGAGTTAAGTAAACTAGAAGATCACCCGCTGATCGACCCCGATGAAAACCGTACTGACGGTCACTGATCAGCTGGTGATCTTCAAGGTACCTCATGAGCTGGCTGTTTATAATGGATTCCATTATTTTGGAGAACAAGGAGGTGGGAGGGACTCCATCGGGCCCACTCGACTTGCTGACGTCCAGGGAGAAGAGTGCTTTGCGAACCGAGCGCTGTGTAAATCGCACATCCGGCATGGAGCACTCACATCGCGGGATGGTCGGCGGTGTGTTCCCCCCGTCATCTAGAGTCAAGTTAGACGCAAAAAGAGAGCACAACAGATCGGCTTTCTCCTTTGCGGCATGGGCCAGTGAGTCGTCCTCTCTTTGCAGAGATGGAAGGGATGGCTGACAGAAGTTCCCTTGGACAGCCTTGGCGAGAGACCAGAATGCACGGGTTCCCGAAGGAAGGCGAACTAGCTTCTCGCCAATTCTGCCGATGTGCTCAGACCTTGCCTTGGCAATGACGCTTTTGAAGGACCTGGAGGCGGAATTATACTTCTTTTTAAGTGCGCTGGTGTTTAAATCCCGAGACGTTGATGCATCAGCCCAGGCCCGGTAGCACTCCTGCTTATAGCGTGATGCTATTTTACAGGAGCGACCAAACCATGGCTGGGATCTGCCTCCGATGGGCACCACAGAGGATGGAATAAAAAGTTCCATACCCTGAAGTACCACATCAGCAACAGAATCAGCAACAACGCTGGGATCTTCCGGCGAGAAGCAAACCCGCCCCCAAGGGTAGGATGCAAAAAAGACCGCATCCCGTCCCAATCAGCTGACCTATAGTGCCAAACACGGCGGCAAGCTGCAGATCGCGACTGCGATTGAAGCGTGAGTGGCACCGTGCTCCGGATCAGACAATGGTCCGAAGAGCCCACAGGGGCATCGACGGAGACCTGATATCCGTCCGGATGAGAGGTCAGCAGAAGGTCCAACAGGGAAGGTACATGGTCTTCCACATCTGGGATCCGCGTAGGCGAAGTAACAAGTTGTGTTAGACCATATGCCAAAGCAAAGTCGTACACAGATCTACCCGCATGATCGGTTAAACGAGAACCAAGCCATTCAGCGTGGTGGGCGTTGAAATCACCGAGTATCACGATCTCTGCGGATGGGACCTGTTGTAGCACGGAGTCTGCAGCCATTTGGACGTGGTCGATGAGTCGGTCTGTGTCGGCATTACCGCTATGGGACCTATAGAGGCACCCGTAGACGCGGGGATGATCGTCGCTGTCTACGCGCAGCCATAGGATGGACAGGTCCGTACCTTCAAGGCTGCCGAGGCGTCGAAAACAGATGTCCTCTCTGACGTATACACACACTCCAGCCCGGGGCACAAAGGAGTGTTCCAATTTGTATCCCGGGTAGGAGAGATATGAAGTATCAGCCGGAGAGGACACCTGAGTCTCGGTTAAAAAGAGCAAGGCCGGCTTCGCCGTCTCTAGATGGTAATGGACAGCGTTAAGGTTGGAATGAAGTCCCCTGATGTTGCAAAAATTCACGGATAGCGTGACAGGGGTCGCCTTGGTTGTATTGCTCCGCTTGCCCCGAGCAGCATTAGTCACGAGCGGAATTTTGCCCCCCCCCAGAATACGCGGGGCAGCCTGAGCACCCACGCTCAGGAGTGAAGTAGTTTGGTCGTGGATGCTCAGCGAGGGATTCTCCAGGGGTGCTGGTACCCTCCTGGGGTAGTCTTTTATTTAATTCCACTACCATGTTGATGGGGGGGGGGGGGGAATTGGGCCTCCGGCCACCTGCACTCACCAAGCGCAACGCAGAGATAAACCTCTACTTCACGCTGGTATTCTGTGAGGTCGTGGTACC